TCAGTAGAACATATAAAAATTATTTACACTCTTTAGTAGATGTTTCATTTTGTAGATCAAGTTTGTAGGTGCAGGATTTTGTGGGTTGAACTATGTGACATTGTATATTAATAATCTATTGAAAAACGTAACAAACAAAAAGTAATATTTGTTTTTTTACTGAACAGTTCTTTTGTTCAGTTACATAAAAGCGTTGATATTACAAGCTAGAAAAGAGAATTAAAGTTAAACAAATTAACCAAATCAAGGTGAATTATGGCGATTATTGTAATAAAAAGCATTATCAATTATGGCAATTATTGTAATCAAAACAAGCTTTCATATTTGAAGAATCAAGTTTTCACAAAAAAATTAATGTTACTTTTAGATAAAACATAACACATCTCTATTTTTAAATTATTATACATAAGGTATTCACAGAAGTTCAAAAAATGCACACTTGATTTTATTAATTATTCTAAAGGTTACATAATAAAGCTATTATTAAAATTTAGAAATATGAAAGATAATTATTTCTGCCTATAAAAATGAAAAAAAAAGTTTTTTAAATAAATATTAAATTTATCAAACTTTGTTTCTTTGTTTAATATTTTTTCTATCAGTTGCTATTAAAGTGTAAACGTTTTGTACCAATTATAGAATATAATAACCAATATTTTGTTCAGCCTAAAAACTATATTCCAACAAACATGTGCTTTATATCTATTGTCTTTTGAAATTGAAATAAACAACAACGTGAACTTGAATTTTTTCAATTTTTCTTGTTTCTACCTTTACACTTAGCTCTTTATTAAGGTGTGGTAAAATTAAAAGTTGTACCTTTTTGTAATCAGTTTACTATATCAAAACACATTTGTGGACAGGTTATAAATTCTTTCTTATAGCTTATTATGCTACAATGCTTTGTAATCTTTTATTACTATACATTAGCAAAGTCAATCTAAATCAGCTCTTTCTTACAAATGCTTTTGTTGCAAATTATCTGGGCCAGCTACAACAACCAATAAGCAATATTCTCAAACTTAAAATGTTTTATTAATCTACACAATTTATAAATGGGAGTAATAAGCGTTAATTTCTGAAAAAAACACAGGTATTTTTTAAAAATATTTATTTTGTTAAATGAAGGATTAATGGGAACTTAATTTGAAAAAACTTATACCAAGTTAAAAAAATTTTGTTGATATTACTTGGTTAGAATCACAACATAGTAAAGTTTTACTATCTGGTTTATAGTTTGTTACAATCGTTGTTATTTTTTTATTTTAGTGTTATAAAAACCATAACGAAAACAAACTATTTTTTAAAATCTTTGTTTTCAAGAAAATAGACCATATTGTACAAAATTGGATACAAAAATCGTATATATTTTTTAATATTATTATTTGGCAATTACTCTATTTCACTTTTATTACTCTATTTCACTATTCATATTTTGACATTTGTTTTTATTTAAACTTACGCGCAAAAGCCTCTCATTCAAAATTGGCAGATCAGATTGCGCATATCTCTGCCTATTCTGAGGCTCCATAGGGTTTCAAAATATGCGGGCCGGCGCGAGTAGGGGTCACCTGGGGGGTGCCTTAACAACTTATCCCGACTTAAAGATAAAAGTGTCTACGTTATTAAAACCAAGTGTTCTGACTTCTTTAAATTTTGAAAAACATTTTATGACAATTCATTTGCTGCCCTAACCCGCCCCAAAAATGATCCATTTAATTTGGCACATTTAAGTAATAAATTTAAACTCCTGTGTTTAACCTATATTCATTTATTAAGCCTTAAAATGACATTAGCATCTATAACTCGGGCTAAGTATTACTGTTTAAATGTTAAACTGTAATAAAATAGCAATCAATACTGTTGTAAAACAAAAATAATTTAATAAAACTGAGTAACAATTGTAAACAAAATTATAAAAAATTGTCAACTTATCATCAAATTTTCTTAAAGCCATTTTGGAAAGATAATAATAAATACTTTCCAACAAATTTAAAAAATATATATATATATATATATATATATATATATATATATATATATATATATATATATATATATATATATATATATATATATATATATATATATATATATATATGATTTTGAGACAGTTTGGATCATGTCAAAATTTTGACTTTTGTGCATAGCTAGCTCACTGTGTACTATAAATGAATAAATTAATTTTTTTTACATATTAAAATCATTATTAAAAATCGTAAAACCAGTTACATTTGCTCATTAGTAGATGAGTCACAAGCTTTATCTTAAATTATTGAAGAAAAAATAATTTTTTGAACTTTAAATTAAATAGATTCACTAATTTTCTTCACCACAGCATTTGATTATTTAATTTTATCAAGTCTTCAAAATGTATGTTGGAGGCGTTCTTTGAAGAATTATAAAGATTAGAGCTCAAAGCATCATTTCCAATGCGTAAAATAAATTTTAGAAGTTTATTTTAACGACCAGCTCCACATATTGATGATTCTCTAGCCTCTGAAAGATAATCGGAATCATCTCTGTGGCCTTTCAACTTTGACAGGTGGTATTCATTTACCGCAAAAATCTATAGCATCAACAACAGGACGAAGTGTTTGGTGATTTTTTATGGTTCTTTCCTTTAGCCCTTTCCTGTGGAGTTTTTTTTTGATTGACTTTTGCTTATTGTGGAGTTTGTTGTCAATTTTTAAAATTTGTTTTTTATAGTTTTTATACATTTTTTTATAATTTTTGTTTATCTATGTAATATTATGATTTAAAAACATGATTTAGGCATAGAAATGAAGATTTTTATAATTTTTTTTTTCAGAATATATTTTATGTAATTAAAATAAAATGAAAAAAATAAATTATATAACAGAATTGTCGGATAGTGTGGTAGATTTTATGTGCGAATTTTATGTGCAGAAAAAATAGCATAAATTCGTTGAGCATTTACTTTTTTATCTATAGCGGGTACATAACTTTAAAAGTGCTATCAGCATCATTTAAATGTTCCATCATCGGCTACAGATCCAGCATCAGAAACCTCGGTGAACTGTCAAAATCGGCGATGTCAACTGAATTGTCACTTGACATTTCGGGTTTTTCGGCAAATAAAAATATTTTTTCCGAACATTTAAAAAAGCAAAAGGAAGTTAAACTGCTAAATTTTTCTTGAAATTTTCTTCATTCAAACCTTCTCTTTAAACTATTTAAGGCAAAATAAATAAGAAAAAAACTTAAAAAAAAAGCCAATGTAATAAACGTTCATTTCAATGTGCTCTTTTCATTTAAATGAGGAAAGTAAAACAACAAGAATACGTGCACAACAGTACCTTGATGTCAGTTATATGTTAAATATATTATATTTTATATACAGTACCAAGATGTCAGTAATATATATTATATATTATATACTATTATCACGGTTGTTACATTGAAGTAAAATTTAGTTAAACCGTAATATTTCGGTCACCACAGGTAATGGGTTAACATTAGTATGAAGGATGGTATTTATTGGTTGACTTATACCTGAGGTATGACTCAAAAAATATTAAAAAACCAGACATAGTGAATGCATTTAAACCAATTTTTGTTGACTAATGCTTTGAAAATGATCTAATAGCGTCAGAACATTTATTGAAAGGTTTCAAATACAAATATGTTAGTTTACATTATCTTATTTTAATTTTATTGCCCAATAATAGACATTTTAAACCAAAAACTCCGATCAGTACATTTCAGCAAAAACTTTATCAATCATAGATATCTAAACTGACAACCAGAGCCTTTTGGAAAAATGTAGGATGAAACATATTTTTTCCTTATAAAAAATGGTGACATAAAAATTCAACCTTTTATCTTAAATCATCATTTTGATCAAATGATTGCACAGAATTGGGTACTTTTATAAGTGGTAAAATAACGCCCGAAAGGCATACAATATTACTATTTTTTAAATTGTCTGTGTCTGTTAACACAGGAAAAGAGCAGGTGTTACTAGCCAAACCAACAATTCATTGAAGTTTGTTATTTCCTTTAACAATTTTTTTGAATTTTTAAATTGTATAGGTATCGGTGTTCTTCCGTACTGTGGACGATGGTCTCGAAATTAATAAAGATTTTTATGGATTTTATGAGACAACTACAACTAAAATAAGTATTTATTTTTGATAATGAAAAAAGTCTTTTTTCGTTCCAAATTAAGGCTCAAGAACTGTCAGGGACAATACTACAGCTGCTGCCCTCTCTTCTGAAATAGCTTGTTTGCAAAAACTTGTTTTTTAACAAGAAAACAGAGCTCATTATGTTTTTTGTATAGATCACAATTTAAATTGAATCGTACAAGATGAAATAAAAGATGATATAGAAAATATCATTTCACTCGTTCAAATGTTCATCGCTTTTTAGAGACTCGCTTGGTTTAAAAGACCATGTTGAAAGCAAAAATTACAACCAAAATGGGACATCATTTAGAACATTTAATTTTCTAAAGGTTCTAAATGATGTCCAGATTTGGCTGGAACCAACCCTGACTTTAAATGGCCTTTTGTCTAGTTTTCAGGTTTTTCGACAACTTTTTTAAGTTTAAATTTGTCCGAATCATCTAGAAGATTTTTGCATTAATTTCAGGGAAGCTAACTCAACTTTAGTAAGGCTGAAGAACCTGAAACCAATTATGAGATCCCTTGCTTAAAAATTTGAAATCCTATACTTCAAAAGTCGCATTTCAAAACACTTTCCAATGCGGCAATTGAATCTGATAAAACATTGGATTTAGACTAGGAAGAGGAAAGAACCTGCAAAAACTGAAGTCGACTTCAGTCAAAGTATTATTACCAGCCAAAGCATCCATATCATGAGATCTACAAGCAATTATACTTTAGCTGTTTGAATTGAGTTTTAGTTGGCATCACGGTACAAAGAAACTTCAAAACAATCAAAATTATCGACAAGACCCGACCATTTTCTCCATTTAAAAGAAAAAACAGAACCATTAGAATAGGGTTCAAACATTGAGCAGTAAGCGTGATTCGATCTAACTATGGAATTTCTTTGCTCAGATAAGTAATTGTTTCATTTAAAAAATCTTTTTAATAAAGTTGATCATGAAGATATAATAGTTTTTAAAAATTTTTACTATTTGTATTTCTTGAGTATGCATGTCAAGTAATTTGTCAATAACTCGAATAAAACGGGTTGTTCAATTGCATCAACAACATAACTGCTAAGAGTTATTTTTTCTTGAAAGTTTGTTTGCAAATTTCAAATCTTCAAACTCTTGTAATTCAAACAAAGCTTTAATGTAACTCCGTTACATTTAATGTAACTAAGCATATGACATGGATCAAGGAAAATGTGTATCAGTTGGTTGTTATATGAAAAAGTACCGACTATACTGTTAATGTCTTTGCCAAACTGGCATTCAAAGTGGATTACAGAATTTAAATTGGTACTTGTTCCATCAAATGTAAGGTTTTTGATATAAAGTTCATCAATTTAATTTAAATTTAATTATCATCAATTATTTCATTATCATCAATTAGTTAACCCTGACGAATATAAAGCTATGGAGATTAGATGTCATATATTCGTTATGAACAAATCACTTGATCATCGACTTACAGAAGGTTCTATAGAATTATGGAAGAAAAATATTAAGTTTGTGTCAGCTGTTATGTATTTAATGGCTGTTAGTAATATGTCTACGCGTATCGAAGAGTTTTTTAATCATGGTGTTTGTGAATCTGCGCTTAAAAAGACATTCAGTTCGCTTCAATTTGAAGGATTGGATATTGACATTTTTAATAGAAAAAAATAATTGTAAAACTTTATTATAATTATAAATAACATATTTCTTTTACTTGTTTTTTTTCTTCGTCTGTTGTTGTTACCAGTGTATTTGATAATAAGATCCATGCGGTACCCATAGTCTATCGTATCCGTTGTAATTTGCGTATGCTGCGTCGGTACTGAATTCTGATATTTTTACAGGTGTATAATTTGCGCTTAGTAACGGAGATCCTGTTAATTCTGCTTCTTCCTCAATTAATGAGTAGTCGTATCTATTGCATATTAGTACCTCTATTTGATGTTCTATTTCAACGTGGAAATATACTCTAAATGGTAGTATGTTGTCTTGATTCATTAGCGCTTGTATTTGTAGATATATCCTTAGCATATTGTTATTGTCACCCCATATTGCGTCTTGTGCAGGTAACCATTGTGTTTTTCCAGCTGCATGATTGGCATCGTTTATTTTGTTTATGTTAGTATACCAAGTTCCAGCAGATTGTGATAGATTTTTTGAGAAGTGCCATGAAGTTATATCACAACAATATATATATATATATATATATATATATATATATATATATATATATATATACATATATATATATATATATACATATATATATATATATACATATATATATTTATATATATATATGTATATATATATATATAGATATATAATGATTGTCGTTACTACTTCATAAGGAACGAATATCATCGGGTTTACCTGGTTCTATCAACGGTAATACATATTTATGTTATTATTGTATGAAATCATAGTTAGACTAATAGCTTTTAGCTGGTTTCAGCATGCTTTCATCAGCGGCAATGTTTGCTTGATAGAACCTTGGTTATGACGGTGATAGTAACTGTTAAAAATACTGAACACGTTAAAGTAATAAAATAATCGTTCCTTTATTTCAACCCTACACTATTCTTTGGCGAGGCAACAATTCTTCTAGTATTTATCTTAACTGTTCATTCATTGTATTGAGGTAAAAAGAGATGTTTTTAGTTTATTCTTAAACATTTAACAAAAAGAAATAATCTCTCAAGGTACTTCCTCTACACCTGATTCTGCAGATTCACTTGCTGTGTCAGAGGAAAAATCAACATTATCAACAGTTTTTGATACATTATTTTCAACAACAACTTTTTTTTTTTTTAATAGCAACAACTATTTCATCAACAACATGTTAAAATAAAATTGCTCCTTATAAAATATGAAACTCTTTATTTGCTTATTTAACATAAATCCTTACGTCCGCAATATTTGATGTATTTCTTTAAAATACATTAAATAATGCAAATGTAGGTAAACTTCCGGCTTTCTGGTTGCCCGGAGCTGCACTTAGTAATATTCAAAGTGAATATTGCTTCATTGCCCAGTTTATTTTTATTTTGAACCCACTGTCAGCCATTACCTAATCTTTTAGTTTAGAGTATGTCTAGAAAACAAGTGTCAAATACAATTAACACAGAACTCGTTCCATATACTGAATATATCCATGATATTGCACCTTTTAATGTTATTGCAACTAGAAGCTTTACGTTGCAATGTTTATAATTACTATATTAACAAGCTTGAACGCTAAGACTAGTAGGAGTTTCTATAAATGCCTTGGTGCAATCTATTATAGTACAAACATTAGGAAAAAGCTTTATGAAACATTTTAACAAAGTTGCTTTAATTTGAATCGAAGATGGACATATAATCAGAAAACTCAGTTGTTTTGATATAAGTTTTATTTCATTTAAAAGTTTTATTCAAATTCAAAATTACTTCTGTTATTATTGAATCAAACTATCTTTTCGACCAAATGACTTCTATGACCGTGACGAGGCGCAGAACGATCAGAATGTGGTGCCACTTAACAGTTTCTTTTCTAAATTCGATTTTCAAAAACTGTATTAAGTTTCCAAATTGATGTCTATCTTTAAGCGTGGTCAGATCTAAAATGTATAGTCTTTTTTCATAAGGTAAGATGCTTTATACTATGAGCTATCTTAATGGCGCGTCTCTAGACTCTCTCTAAGATATTTATATCTTTAATTGTATGCCGGTTTCAACTTAAAGCAGAGAATTCAAGATGAGAAAGGACGTACGTTATGTGTAACTTTTTACATAAAGCTACATTGGGCGAAACAAATGTTCTTTCAAGCATGCTAAGCATCTTGTTGGCCTTCGAGTGTATACAGTGCACACCTGGGCGTTTTGTTTTAGGTCATTGCTAACTTTGATTCCTTAATCACATTCAGATTATTTTCAAATTAAGTTGAGTCAATTTATCCAAGTCTAGCGTTATATGGGTGTACTTTTTATTTAGTCGACCGACGTGAAGAACTTCACATTAAGAAATGTTCAGCCTCGTATGCCATAGTCTTAATCACTCAGTTATAGTACCAATTTCATTTTGGAGCGCAGTGCAATCGTTCTGTTCTTCACCAAGTTGAACTAGGGCAAGCAGTTTTGTGTCATCTGCAAATATTTAAAGATTGACTTAATTCTAACCAACAGGTCATTTATAAAGATCACAAAGAGTATTAGTCCCAATGCTGATCCTTGAGGAACTCCTCTAGAAACCGGCGCCCAGTCCGATACCGTTTCACCCATGATTACTCTTTGTTTACGGTCGAATAGAATCACTTTCACCCATTTCAGAATTCGATAATTGATCCCGTAACCTACTAATTTGATTAGCTAATGTTTTTTTTAAATAATCCATAGTTTCAAGGTGGTTTGTAGAGCTTAACTTTCGGGAAACAAAACCATGATGTTCTTGTGTAATCTAATTAATGTCAACTAAGATGCGCTAGGATGGTTTTTCTAAGTATATTTTCCAGCAGTTTGCACGTGAATGAGGTGAGACTGATTGATCCATAATTTCCGGGTAAGTGGTTAACTTTTTTTTGAATATAGGAGTAATATTTGCTACTTTCCACCTCACCTTAATCAAGTGTTTGTTGAAACAGTATAGCTAAAGGTTTTGTTCTTTCGGATGGACGGCTATGTAAAATTAGTGGATAAATATTATTATATCCTTGCGTTTTATTTGAATGCATTTCTCTAAGTAGTTGCTCAACTCGATTAGTATTAATGCTAATATTGCCAATTTTTTCCGAGTTTTCTTCAAACCATTTTTTACTTTGTTACGCGTTTGTTAGTCGGTGGACATTTATTTGCCATTTTTAGATGCCACGGCCGTAATTTTGATTTAGATCGTTGCATAATCTCTTTGCATATCCAAGACCCTGTCAATTGGGTCAAATTAAAAAATTAGAAATAGTGTATTTTACATAATGCAGAACCGTAATTAACAAAACGAACAATAGGCGTAACAGTGCGTAACTATGCGCACTAATATAATAATAATGATATTCATTGCCGTATTAATATTTAGATAGAATTACATAATTAAATAATAATACGCATATACCTAAAAACTTAAAAACGCCAAGTATAATTAAATTTTATTCAAGTTTTTATTTGCTAATAGTAAACAATGCTATACCATGCCACTTTTCTCGAATTCGCAAAGCAACTTAATTTCTATGATCCGTCCTAATATATATATATATATATATATATATATATATATATATATATATATATATATATATATATATATATATACATATGTATATATATATATGTATATATATATATATATACATATATATATAAAGTTTATATAATTTGAATTTTATTCAAAGATACATATGAAAATTAGTGTTCTTAAATGCAGGGTCAAACTGGTGAGGGGGTTTGAGAGAGATATACCCCAGAGCCCCTGCCAAATTCAAGATTCCCAAGTAAAACACAAAAATGCATATAAATTAGTAATAATTATTTATGTTTTATATACATCAATTTTGCAAAGACAATACAATAAATGTGGTAGTTATTTCTATGAAATAACATTTTTGATATTACAATATAGCAAAGTTATTTCTACTTATAACCAAAAACTATGCAAATAAGGATTTAATTTGTTTTTGCCCCGGACCCTTAAGTGCATGTCCGACCCTGCCTAAATGTAATATTGATAATATCAATCTGATTATAAATATGGGAGAAATTATTTAACTACCTGCATTTTCCAAATTCTCCTTCTAACCGATCTGTCTGAATATTCAAGAAAAAACATATTGATGATCTTTTTTCAATATTCGAATTAAATCTACAACCCCTTAAAGAATACTCGACAAAGAAAAACTAAAGTTCCACGTGTGAATGTTTACTCCGCTTCCAGCCCTTTTCTTCTGCATTTTTGTAATGAACCAAAAATAATAGATGTTGTGACCGGTTACTTTTATTTTTTTAAATTAATTTCTGTCCATTATTAGCAAGTATACAAGTGTTATAAAAGTTTTTTGCGGTTTTGTGAAAAGCAGTTATTAAAAACTGTTCGTAACATGAAACACTTGTTTTTACTTTATAAACACATAAAGGACATAAGAAAATATTGAATTTTCTCTATATTGAATATCCAGCATTTCTGGCAAAAATATATGGTTCATTTAATATAGTCTTTATTTAGATGATTGTATCAATACTTCTCTATTTCAAAGTCTAGTCTTTCGGCTGGTAAAACATTAGATTCACAATTGCTTAACTCAATATCACTTTTATAACTGTATATAAAGTATAACCATAGCAGATAGGGTTAATGAAAAATAAATAACAATTGTGTAATAATTATTGTATTAAGTGATAACAAATTGAATGTTACTTACAGATTTTCTCTTATTGAATGAGTTTCTTTGTGAATGAAAAGTGGAGTAGGTCTACTTGAGTAACACAAAAAGCATCGGGTATTCTTTTTTTGTGCCAAATTTTCTTTTTACTTTATAAAATAAACAAACATTGTTATTATTATGCTTTATACATAAACCATAACAATAGATACAGTATACAGTATCGAATACAGTAATAATAGATTAAAAATTTGTAAACAATACTATATGAAATTATAAAACAACCTTGGTAAAATATAATCGTAGTCTTTTTTTCATTCTCAGAGGAACTAATCATTTTATATTTAAACAGTTTCATAAATACAAACA